GTATAATATAGGTGCGCTAGCCAATACACCCCGTTGCCAAGAGTGCGCTTGGACCACAGGACAGATATGAATTTTATGAAAGGCAGCTCCCTACATCAAATTCTGTGGTGGGATTATCGATGAAACACAGTCATTTTTGCTATAGCAATCAACTACATTACTTATTTATCGTTTGTAAGTAGTTTTTATTCATATATTTGATTTAGTGGTAGTCTCGCAAACCTACTTATAAAAGGAAAATAACTGATGAAGTCGAATGGTATAGTAAATATAACTTTGTTTAATCTATAATCCCACCAGAGAATGTGATATTGGAAAATGTCTGGCCTTTCTTGACATTCACATCTGTCCAATGACCCAAGGGTACTCGCAGCAGTGTGGCGTGGTGGTTAACTTTACGAGATTATGCCTTGCACTGTCATGGTTCATGTCCTGCTGGGGGTGTTGAGCAGACTTGGGTGATTTAGAAACTGCAGTCTACCCTGGATGAGAATACCCTTTGGGAATCAAATGGAAACGTAAGCTCTATTCATATCATTGCGGGAAATTCAATTATAAGTTCTCCATTGCTTTGCATGACAGGGTTAACACATTTCATTTCTATGATCTATTGGTTGTTTTGCAAGCCTACCTACAATCGAAAAGTACTTGGGATGTGCAAAATGAGAACGAGAAAATGAGCAAGCATACCTTTAGAATAGACAGACATCTGAATGAATTACAAAGTGAAACTGCTCAACTACAACAGATATTATGCTGAGCCAAAATGACCCGGCATCACAGAAGCAAATTAGGTAGGAGTTCGAATCCAAGTCAGTATTGCCGACTGTACTGGAAAGTGGACATTCGCTCCAGCGACAATCCCACTATGACTGTATGATATAGGAGAAGCCTAGTCTGCTCTGAACGTCGCTTCCGTCCTCTCACCGACCGGCACTCGTGGGAAGTGCGACGGAGAGGTGGCATGCCGAAATAATGCACAGTATTGGCCGGGTTCGAGTCTCGTTTAGAGTGCTGATGAGACCTGGGCGAGGCCGAAACTGAAGTCCAGCCTGAATGATAATTCCCTTTTGGAGTCAAGGGAGTCCTACACATCTGATTGTGGGAAAATTAATGATCACTTTTGTCTTAGGTTTAGCGACTTGGGATGACCGAGGTTGGTATTTAGAATCCAAGCCAGCATTGGGAAGCAGGAAAATCGGACAATCAGGTGATCCGTTGGGCAAGCACATTTTTACACAAACAGTTGTCCAGAGACCGGACCTCTAGACTACCCGATGGCAAAACAAACAATCGATAGACCAGAGTTTGGGCCCCAAATAAAATGCTGGTAAATGGAAGAGGAAGAAGAAAAAGAGTAACATGCTGACCTCATGTCACTGATCCCCATCATGACCGCACCCTTACTCATCATGACACATGCAGCAGCTCTCTTGGCCCAGTCGAACTTCTGACATGCCTATAGGTGTTGGTGTTGGACTATGCCTTCTCTTAACCTTTATACCTTTTTCCCCTTACCCCTCCAACCCCGCCCCATCGCCATCTCTTGCTCTCTCCGTTCTACCTTCTTGCTCTCTTTTCGCCAGCACACTTGCCCCTTTCTCTTCCCGCCTCTGGAACCTCTTGTTGGCAGCTTCCCCCAGTGCAACCTGCACACCTGGTTTCGGCCAAGACGTTGGCAGACAGTCAGCCAAGTCTGACTAACATGGCCTGTCGACTTGACTACTCTCGGTCAAGCATGCTGCATGTGAAAGAGGGGAGTGGGACGAGCCAATGAGGCAGGATGTTTGGGCGCGGAGGTCCACGGACCTGTGATCGCGGAGGGCACGAGAGGACGATTTTATCGATGAATCATGTGGCCAAGACAACATGGCAACATGGCTGCACACCTTACAATCTGCCATGCACGGTTCGAGGTACCGGTCCTGTTGCTGTCTGGGCAAAATGTTGCATTGAACAGCAGGAAAACTGACTTGCTTCCCACAGGAGATTGCATATGTGTCCCGACGCCACGCCACGCCTCACTTCAGCCAGCCTAAAGCATTTTTCAAGTTAATGCCTTCCCTATCTTCCTCACAAATAAGCATTTAAATAGAAATTTTTCTTTAAAGCATCACCACTTTCTTGTACAGACTCGTTATCCTTTCACTCGAGATCAGATATTCCGAGAAGTAGGTATCACTATTGCTCATTCGGTGCAACCTGACATTCTCTGGCAAGACTACGTTTAATTAGACAAATATTCGTTGGATTCTTTTCCTGTAAACGCTGGAAGCGTGAATTTTCATCATGACAAGATAGTATTGTTGGCTGCGGTGCCAAACCAGTCTGGCTTTTGATCTTGCTCAAGAACTACTAACAATCTCCGTGGTTTTTGACGAAGTATGGACTGGCAGTTGAGGGTACAAATATGAAATGAGTTCATTGAATTTCACTTAGCACTACCTCCATAAAGGTTTTCTCGTCCCGGCTTGACTACCCTTTCGACCTCATCTGGATGTCTTCTAGATTGGAACCTGAGTCCGGCGCGTCATTTGACCCCAAATTGCCACTCCACCAGAGAGCCAAGAGGGCTAGTGGGTCACAGGACAGATGTAGAGTCAACATTTATCATTGGATTGTCGATTCTGAAAGACAAATCTGTCCTGCTACCTCGGGTGACTCAAGTTATAATTTAATTATTTTTGCTATTTAAGTAGATCAGTAATTTGAGATGTATTTACCCTATTTCGTTTAAGGCGATGAAGGACTGGTAATAGTGCTGATGCAAGGTCGAAACTGCAGTCCTCGCTGGATGAAAACAACTTTTGGGAAAGCAAGGCTATGTGAAATTCAATGAAAACGTCAGCTCTACTCATATCATTGTGGGCAAATTCTACTAAGAGTCCTTCATCTAATTTACTCTTTGCTTATATTCTCGAAGCATAGTTGCTAAATTTTCTAAAAAGGTAGTTTTCGAGACCATCAGTAACTCTAAAATAAGAGCTCTATTCCCCATAGGTCACATATTTTGAAGAAGGATTAATATTTTCGCCTTCCTAGAATAGCTAAACGTCTGGTAATGTACCACGTCGATGGTCCGACTTTGGAAATGATCATGCATACAATGGACTCCGGATTAGGTGCGTTCCTCTAAGTCTTCCTAC